GTACAAGTTTCGATTGACAGTGTACGTATAGTGTGCCACTCGAAAAATGCACCAATAGTTTGCCATGAATCATATGCATCAGCTGTGGCAAATCACTTATGAGAATAGGATCACACACATTGTTTGGGTTCGATTCTCCACGTGAGGAACTCATAAATAATGAGGTTGCCAATCAAATTGCATCACGTGAGGTAAGTGTTTAACATTTTTCTATTTATTGAGTGTGGTACTCATATCTGATAGTTAAACATGTTTTTAAACTGACTGCATGTCAACTTAAGAACTTGTTTTATTTTTTTCACCTCTGCATAAGCTATATCTGACAAAAATACTAGCTTATTTACGAGATTGACCATTTTTATCAACTACCAAGGAATGAGACTGTTGATTTATCATTATTTTGTACTGCTGGTAGTCTGTCAGGCCTTAATTATTAAATAATATAAAGCATTAAGTCTGTCTTTGTGCAGTATCATTTTACTTGATAAATAATCTATTTATATTTGAGTTTAAAATCAAACAAATCTCTTTTTTTTTCACTTTGACTAATTTTTTGTATTTAACATTATTACAGTTGTCATCTTCATCTTGTGTATATCATAATTGCTGGCAAAGGACTGATAGAACGGCATCAGATTCAACTGCAGAATGGGAACCATCTGAATCATCTAGTTCATCCTCATAGCAATCTGAAGGAGTAATGTATTGCACTCAGAACAACAAAGCTTAGATTATCAGATCATCACACAGTATACTGCTAACTAATATTGTAAAAGCACTACTAACACCAAATCAATGTTTTTTACCTGGTTGTAATAATTCCAATCGACTCACTGTTCCATCAGCATTGCGGGTATGTCTCTTTTGCGATTACAATTACTATGTATGTATGTATGTTATACGTGGTAGAGCAATGCTGCAGTTATATTAGTAGTATAGTTGTAGCACAAATGGATCGGTTCGACCAGGGAAGGACCACGCTCTCACAGAATATCAGCATGAAATAAGAGCTTAATGCTGCTGTGTTTCGTATGGTGAGTGTATAGAACCAGACTTTTTACTGGAAATGAGGCATTCCATCTTATTCCTCACGGGTGACAACGCGTCTGTATTTTAATTTATAATCGAGGATAGATGTAGATTCCACACAGCAACCACTTACCATCAGGTGGACTGTATGCTCGTTTGTCGCCCTATCCTATAAAAAAAAAACAATGTACTTACCTCTAGAATATAAAATATATAATACCATTTAAATGGTAACTCTTGCAATGTACTTTTAGAATCAACAAAGTAATCCTATTAATACATTTTGTGCAGCACAAATTGAAGATTTTGCTACATTATAGAAAGATAATATGTATATCATATAGACTGAAAATATTCAGAGTATGCCTGAGCATACTATACTTTTTTTATGCAGGACAACAAACAATTACATAATAATGCTTAAACCAAATAACAATTTATAAATAACATTAGTCTTAGTCGTTATGTAACCAGCACCGTTATCCACAAAGAAATATTAAATTTGTAACAATAAATAATAATGAGAGATAAGAATACTTTATGAATACCCTATAATAATAATATTAACAAACAGAGTATAAGTGAAAAATAAATATACATTATTATCTGGCTACAAATTCTAAGGCTAAATAGTTCCGAGACTGTCAAGAAAATATAATAGATAGTGACGAACAAGCAAGTTCTAAGAAGTACATTAGAGGTGCTCATGAATATGGCCTGTGAAATATTAAATCAGGATTTTGTTTCTATGAATGTAGAAACAAATCATATATCCCAAGCAAAAACAGCTGTAAGAAATCTTCTCATTCCAAATTGAGTTTGTCGGGTACTGTTGTCTCCAGTAGATGGTGAATCTCAGTTAATGACAAGATATGCTGATAAGTCCAGAGCCGTGACTATGTATCGATATGGGTAGTAAAGGCGGTGAATGGCATTTTTAAAACTTAATTTAAAATATTTCGCCAAAATTACTTTAACAGGGCTTCTACACATTTGATGATAGAGTGGCTGCTGCTCTAATTAATAAATTCCACACGTAATTAAGGGACAGGGATGATGCGGCTTAAATACTTGAAATAGTTCACCAAAATATGGAGACAAATAATGTGCACATGTTATGACATTAATATGGTATTTGGGTTGAGCACGGCATCAAACTAATATTTTGCCTCCTGCTCAGTTCCTGGATGATGTATTGATGTATAAATTAGAGGCAAATAATTCCTTAGCTTTTCTAGATGCGTTAGTCATCCAAAATCCTAACAACACCATAGGTCACACTGTGTATAGAAAACAATGTATCTCACCATCATCCTTCACAAGTCGGCTACCGTTAGCAAATCTTTGTTACAGAGAGCATAAGGGATCTGTGACAGCAAACATCTGGCTGGTCGAGCTTCAGCACGTCAAGCAGGTTTTACACGTCAACAAGCTTCGGGTTCGGCGCCTACGTCACAGTGACCGAGTGAAGCCGGCCACAGTCAAGCGTGTGCATTACTACCATATGTCAGGGGTGTCACAGACTAGATCGGCTACATCTTGAAGCGAGCTTCTATTAGAACATTCTACAAGCCTCTGAAAAAGATTAGTGAGTTATTACCATCAATCAAGTGTCATATTCTTCTAAAAGGTGCAGGAGTGTACACCCTTGATTGTGAATGTGGTCTCTCATATATAGGGCAAACTAAAAGAACAATTAAAACCCGCGTAAAAGAACATATATCTGACGTGAAGCAACAAAGTTCAGGGAAGTTTGCAGTTTGTGATCATGTCCTAGACGGCCCAACCAGATACTGAATCAGATTTGATAGACCACAAATCCTCTCGAAGGAACATCAATTCCTATCAAGAGTGACGTAACGTGAGACTATTGAAATAAAAAAATCCTTATTTAAATAGAGAAGGGGGCTTGGTACTACCACCTGCTTGGGACACTTTAATTAATGAAATTAAAACTAAACCCAAGCATATCACTGCAAGATTTCAAGACACAGTAAGTTCATTCTGTAGATCGGACTATAAAAAAAAATTAAAAATCTGAAGATATTCCAGGTTAACACTGACATTGGGACGTCAGTCACCTCAGTCCGCCGTGACCATGGGTGCTGGAAAGCACCCGAAACGTCTGGAATTAAAAATCAAAGAAATAAAACGCGATAAAATTGATAAAAGTAGTTGTTAAAAAAAACTGTATTTGTGAAAATAAAAACTTATGTATCTTTAAAATCCCGACTTTTTTTAAAAGCAATTCCTATACCATTTCATTCTTTTAATTGCATATTATCATATCTATATACTTTTATATGTGGGCACCCACGGCCAAAGTGTCTATGAAGAGTGGGCAATCCCCTTTTTGCAATTTTATTCGTCGATTCGATGAATATTTTAAAATCATTCTTAACTGCTTCTTCGGAATTGACATTTTGCCTTTTAACACGTTAGCTGTCAAATGTACCGAATACAGTACACGCCGCCGTGGGTCCATCACGTCCGTGTACCGTAAATGGTACACTCGCCCCTGTGTCTTTCTATGCGCTCTAACTTCATGGACTTGTGTGTTATGTTGCTCTATTTATCAGGACTTGTCAATAGGACACCAATGAATAGAAAAAAACGGAAAACATGATATATTCTTTTTTTTCTAAATGTGGGTAGTGGCAAAAAAAGCAACTGTTTATAGTTAGTTTGTAGTTACTGTGTTAGTAAAAAGGCTTTATTTATGTAAAGGTACTTCAGAATAACATTGAAGACAGTACGTCTTTTTACATTTATTACAGTTCGTTGTCACTCTTTTAGCTTTAGTTCTCGCATCCTTTGGAAGACTTCCCTGATCGATAAGTTTTTTGTAACACGCAACACATCATCTTCGTACAGATATGCCCCTTACTTTGCCAATATTTTCTAAAAAATTTGAAATCCTATTAGATTCTACCAGTGTACTTGATGATGAAGACAGGCTTTCGTATTGCCTTTGTCTTACGGGGAAACGTGAAGTGCTCGTCTGTAGTTGCGCTTCACGTGTTTGCTGCTGTGCAGGTTCAATTTGCAATAATCTCTTCACAATTGCTTCATTTGCCGCCAAAACAGTGTACCTTTCTTTTTTTTTCAGGGTGTAATTCATTGAAAATTATCATAGAGTTTATCAATGCTATGGCCAGCAAATCCGTTGCAACTTTTTTATACCAGATTAACGTTTTTCTAACAGGCGTGTTGTAACTGGACAGTTGATCAGCAATGTCTATTCCTTTTTTAGCTTTGTTGTAGGTAAGTATCATATCAGACTTCAGCTTTGGAGTGCATGCTGTCGTCATAGATAGTCCTTTGCCGTGACAAGTCGACAATATGCAAACATCTCGCTTGTCTTTCCATTTTAGAACAGTGATATTTTCATTTTTTTTTGTTTGACGGCAATTTCTCCTACTTGCCATGTATATATATGTCACAAATGCTGCTTTGCGCATTTGTGACATCTTTGGGTATACCTCTTCTTTTGTTATTTAGAGTACCAGAGAGATCTGTATTACGAGAGAGAAGAAATTCTGCAAGAGGCACACTCGTGTAGTAATTATCCGTGACCATACAACGACCTTCATCTAACAGTCCTTCTGCTAATTTTACAACAATAGTTCCTGTTGTATCTAAAACCAAAAAGCTGTTCGCTCTGTCCGCTATATATTTGGTATCCCCACGTAAAGCCATCTACAGTGCATAACTTATATATTTTGATCCCGTATTTATGAGACTTCGACGGTATAAACTGGCGAAAAATTAATCTGCCACGAAAATGCACCATTGATTCGTCAACAACTATGGTGTCCCCAGGCGTGTAAATCGATCTAGAATTATCAATAATAAGATCTAGCAAGGGACCAATCTTGTATAGTCAATCATTTTCGCGTCGAGACGCTTCATTGTCGCAAAAATGCCAACATTTTAGTATAAGTGTGAATCTGTTGTACGACATTTTGATATTATAAAGTAATGGATGATAATAAATTACATCCTTTTTTCCAGTATGATTCTATCGTTGGGAAGGGTATTATACCCATTAGTAGAATTACACCAAGAAATTTTAGCATTTCTGATTCGTCGACATCTGACCATCGTTTTTTTCGACTGTGTGGCTTTGCCGGTTCTTGTAAAAACCGCGCGGCATACAAATTTGTTTGTTGCACCATTAGTTTTAGGACATCATCATTAACAATTTTTCGAAAAATTGTATAAAGATCTGTGTTTACATCGAAAAGCAGATTTTGGCGCGTTGGTTCGTCGTGCCCTGTGAAAGGTTTTCTCGATAAATCTTTTACAACTACCTGCCACTCGGAGTCAAGAGACACTTGTGATTGTATTCGTCTTGACCTCGACGTTCGTGAAGATACATTTGGTGGGTTACTGATGGTGATGGGGCTGTCTGGTATTTCAGCATTTTCATGTTGTCCACTAAGTATTTCAGAGTGTGCAGACTCACCCATTTCTCCATCATGTTGTACCTCTCTGGCAATTGCTTCGACTGTCTCTCCTTCACGTTCATCAATGTCCACATCATCGTCCTCGACAATTCCCTCATGGTCATACACATTGAACAGTGAATCTTCACCATCAGACTCCTCCAACACTCTCCTGATATCTTCGTCGCCAAAGTTCTTCATATATACTAATATTATTCACACAACAAAAAATTGGCGCTCAAACGGACAAAAACTTTGAATGTGAGTTTTCACTTAGCCATTTGACAGTTGACAGAATTTAAGTCATTTTTACTTTCTTTCAATGTCAATTTGTGACCATAAACAAGAATATTAATAAAAAAGGTGTTATTTTTTAAATAACTAACCGTTCACAAGTCCACGGTACACGCTAAGTGTACACGATGCTTCAACTCGACAAGTCCGTGTACCGTATTCGGTACACGGGTAATAGGTGTGATAAACCGAGTGATTTGTTATTAATTAGGCATATTATCCAAAACTAGTTATTTTGTATTGATTTGAGACAGAATATTACAAAAAATGATTTGGACATTTGGGGTTATTGAAAAATTACGTATGGGGACAGTTAACGTGTTAAAAGTTATCTAACCTCTAAAAAAGCGGAAATAAATTGGAGCAAGATATAGAAAATATGGTGGATGTGGAATGGTCTTTAATTTCAGCTCCGCTATTTTTGCCAACGTCTGTTGTGCTGTAACTGGACTGGCGTTATATAATCTTCTTTGTTACCAAAATTATAACAAGTTAACTTTTAATTTTTTACTAAATTTGCAATCAAAAACTGCCCAGATATTCTAAAACATTTTATTGCAATAACCATAATAATAATGTCCTCTAGACCGAATTTCGGCCACGGCGGCCTGCGTCAACAGAGGTTAGCCATCGGCGCAGGACAGGATTAGAGTGCCCAAGTGTATGCGCAAGCACAGGTGCACTCCCTATTCCCTCACTCTCGTAATCCGATGGGCCGGTAAACCAACACGACCGGGAGAGAGATCAGGCGCAGGTCCAACGGCTTTACGTGCTTTCCAAGGCACGGGGGTGAGACACCGCCAACTTTCTGACTCCGGGCAGCTACTGAGAATTTCTTGACAGAAAAACTCAATAATTGATTTTTTGGCCCGACCCGGGATTCGAACCCAGGACCTCATGATCAGCAGTCGTACTACTACAACCACTAGACCGACGTGGCAGTCAGTAACAGGTGTATGCGAACTAACAATAGCTTAAACAATCATGATATCGACATCTTTAGCGACCCTGAACGTGTTTTAAAAGAAAATGTAAAGACATACTGTTACCTGCCTTACCAGATTAATGATTCAAAATTATAAAAAAAAAAAAAATATTTGTTGTAATTATTACTGGATGTGGTGCTTTTACTTTGATTGGTTAGTTTGATTTCTTTTTGTTTTGGAGTTTATATGTTGTTTAGTTTTTTTTTCTTTCTTGTAATGATGTATACACCTGTAAAGACATATCCTTAATCTAAAAATGTAGTATTTTGATTGTAACAATGTTTATTTATATTGTCGATGGTGTATCTATCAAAATAAATAAATAATATTGATGTACATTGCGTTGTAAATTATATTTTTACCAATTTTATCATATCCTGGTTTCTTTACGTGGTAAAGCCACCATTGTGATGGCTTGGCCAGGGATGGACCACGCTGCTCCTGAAAGAGTGTAAAATAGCAGCTGGATACTGCTGTTTCGTATGGTGGGTTTAGAAATACGGAGACCCTTTGTAGTACATTCTATCTCAAGTAACGAGACATTCTATCTCAGTTCTCACGGGTAACATCGCATCTGCGTTTTGAACTTCTTTCTATAAGCCACATCATCCACTTACCAGGTCTCCCTTGAAGGTTATAAAGGAAAGGGATTATAGAAATATAAGAAAAAAATACCTTTCCCACAATACTTTATCAAAAGCCTTTTTTGTATTGTGAATTTTCGTAACCAGAGGATACAATTTATTACATAATATTTAATTTCGGGTATGACTCTGAGTATCTAAAAAACACACAGCTTTTTTGAACTGTATGATCAATGTATCCAGTGTTAAAACCCTATTTACATACGTAAACTATCATGCCTGATACCCAAAAGGGTAGGCAGAGACTACAGTCTTTCACTCACTCTTCCCTTCGGGCTTCAGTGGACATAGGAAGGCTTTCGTATGCACTATTCTAATTTAAAAATAGAATTTTTCAACGTCATATTAGTTAAATATATTGAGCTACCAGGAGCGCGATGAACGAGAAGAAGAGAGCGTTGAACGTCAACTGCAGTGCCAAGGCGTGAGTAGGACATAACGACTAAACAATGATATCGCTATAAGCTGATGCATCATTGACTCCGCCTTAATTGCGAAGATAGTTACCGTCGGACTGCTTAAGGCGTATTTTTATATCCACATAATATAATATCAATACAGCGTACTCCACTAAATACATTAAATTTATCTAGTAAAAAAACCCGAATACAGTTACACGGATCGGATCCTAATCTAAATGTTTTTATGGAAAGTGATAATGAATGTAATACTTTGACTAGAAGACAAAAAAGAAAGATTCCCGAGCTGCACGCGGCAGCTTTGCTGTTGTACGTATGGGCCGGCTCAAACCGGTTTGGTAACACGACCTTACGGAATACCGGCGCTGAGCATCCACGACCATGTTTCTCCACTCCTGAGCGTGGGTGCTCAGGCCACCCCACGTATTTCGGGAGGAGGGGCAAAATTCCGCTCAAGACTACAACTGCTCGGGGCAAACGGAGCAACAAGACCAAGCCGACCCCTGCCACGCTATCCGTGAATATCTGCAATATCAGGGGACTTCGCTCTAATTTAAACGCCGTCTACTACCATCTCGAGACGGCGAGGCCGGCTCTGCTCTTTCCGACCGAGACGCAGGTGTCCTCGCCGGCTGATGTCCCGTATTTCTCCTACCCAGGGTACGAACTGGAACACTCCTTTGTGCCTCGGGCTATAGTTTGCGTTTACGTCAGACAGGACATCTGTTCTCCACGCCTTGGCAGTGTTGAAGGATCGGACCTGTCCATCCTTTGGCTACGTGTAGACAGCGACGACCATCCGCGCGTCTACGGGTGCCTCTATAGGTCCTATAGCGGTAATGCCGAAACAGACATTCGACCACGTCCAAATGGCTACAGAGTCGTTGCTACAGCAGATTCCCTCCGCAGAGACCGTAATCCTCGGCGACTTTAATCCATCACGCCGAATGGCTCGTTTCACTTTTAACCGATCATGCGGGGAGATCTGTTCATGATTTTGCATTGGCATATGTTCTGACGCAACTGGTTACTTCGCCTACGCGGATTTCAGATGTGGAGGAGCATGCACCTTCTATGTTGGACCTTGTGCTGCCTTCTCACCCGGACGGATATCAAATTTCCGTCGACGCCCCTTTAGGCTCCTCGGACCATTGTCTTGTCAGGAGTGTGGTGCCTCCACTCACGCTGAAATCGCAGTTGCATTCTGTAGGCTGCCGCTGTGTTTGGCACTATAGATCAGCCGATTGGGATGTGATGCGGTCTTTCTTTGCATCCTACCCTTGGGGGCATGTTTGCGTCTCGCCGGACGATCTCAACGTTCTTGGGGATTCTGTCGCTGATGTGGTACTTCAGCGTATGGAACTTTTTATTCCTTCCTCTGTGGTGCCCATTGGAGGCAAATCTCAGCCATGGTTTGGTCACTCCTGTAAAATAGCATCATGCTATAAGAAGTGCCGACCGGCTGACCATCGTCCCGTTACCCACCTCGTATATTCCGCTCAGATCCTTCAAAAGAGTCATTGCCAAGGCAAAGTCAGAGCACATAGGCAGAATTGGCGAGAGACTAGTTCGCCTTCATTCTAAAACCGTGCATTCTGGTCTCTCGCCAAGGCTGTCCAGGGGAATTTCTGTCAGCCATCTCTTCCATCTCTGCACAGGGAGGACGACTCACTGGCCCATACTTTAAAGGAGAAAGCCGATCTGCTAGGCATCTTTCTTTGCATCCAACTCGACTCCCGATGACGGGGGGAGTACGCCGCCGACCATCCCGCGGTGTGAGTGCTCCATGCCTGTATCGTAGTTCATACAGCGCTCGGTTCGCTAAGCACTCCTCTCCTTGGACATCCACAAGTCGAGTGGACCTGACGGAATCCCCCCAATTGTGCTGAGGACTTCCGGTCTTTTCCGGTACTCCTACTCCCTAGGCGTAGTCCCAAAATCATGGAAGACGGCTTTCGTCCACCCGATCACTAAAAAAGGCGACCGTTCAGACTCGTCCTATCGTCAACTACCGGCCTATCGCCATCACCTCCTTGTTCTCCAAAACAATGAAATCTATTGTTAACTGTCAGCTAATGAGGTACCTTGAGGATCACCAGCTGATTAGTGATCGCCACTGCGGTTTTCGCCGTGATCGGTCAGCTGGTGATCTTCTGGTCTACCTAACTCACAGATGGGCGTAGGCAGTAGAGTCCAAGGGGGAGGCATTGGCCGTTAGTTTGGACATTGCGAAGGCCTTCGATCGGGTTTGGCACAAAGCGCTTCTTTCGAAGCTCCCTTCCTTTGGGCTTCCCGAGAAATTGTGTGATTGGATCACCAGCTTTCTTGCAGATCGGAATATCAAGGTCGTTGTAAACGATGCAAGCTCCGATTACAAGCCTATTAATGCTGGTGTTCTACAAGGTTGCGTGCTATTGCCAACGTTGTTTCTTCTGCGTATCAATGATATGTTGCAAACCCGTAACATTCATTGCTATGCAGATGACAGCACTGGTGATGCTTTTTACACCGGCAGTGTCAATATTTCTCGGGAAAACGTCTCCGTGTACCAGGACAAACTTGTGTCTAAAGTCGAGTCTTTGCTCAATAGTCTCGGATTGGGGGCGAATAAATCTAGTCCAGTTTAACAGACAGTTAAAGTCCTAGACGACACAAGTTTGCGCGTTAGCCGCTAAAAAGAATCCCTTTGTCGTATCTCCTCAGTTTCCAAGCAGTCCCCTTGTTGCCTCAGCCAGTATCGGAATCCTCGGCGTCAACATATCAAGTGACGCGCAGTTTCGTGGTCACTTGGAAGAGAAGGCCAAATTGGCCTCTAAAAAACTTGGCGTGCTCAGCAGAGCGGGACAGTATTTCATGCC